TTATCAAGCGTGTGTATTAATGTCGTATACGTATGTCTATATAGCGCGTGGATATCTGACGTTGTCAAAATCAAGTTGTTGACAGCATTGAGCGTCAGCGTACACCTACGTGAATTTGCGAATAAAATATTTCGACTGGCGAATTCTCAAGGGGGAATAATTGAACGCGCTTTCGAAATTCGCAAGGTGCGTGTGAGTGCGCGAGCACGTTACGCCACACTGTCCGCAAACTGTCGCTAATTAGAATTCTAGTATTGTGTGCACAAACTTCCGCTCCCAATAGGCCAGTCCCAGGCATGGCGGATCTCGTGTCATAATTGAAGCCATCAGCGCAACGGGTGCCGAATTTCGTGTGTACGTCCCTGGTCGTCACATAAATACGATATAGGCCCGTGGAAAATATTTTTGATACTTTTATATTTTTTTGGACTTTTTTAAAAATATTTTTGGACTTTTGAAATTTTTATATTTTTCAAAAATACGATATTCGTTTACATTGCTGTTACTTTTTTTTTTTTAAATTTAATTTTTCATGTGACTCGGTTACTTATATGCAGCGACACGGTGTCCGATCACGTATGACTGTTAAGATTCGGTAATTTCTCGAGGCACGATTGGCCACGAGACTTTTTACAATTTCTTCAGCCGCACGCACAAGAAACTCGATGCATTTCGCAAAAGCAAATCCCACGAGGTCGTCGATCACATAGAAGCCTATCGAAAGGTACAGTTATTCCAGTTTCCTAGCCACGTTATTTTTCCTTCGTTCGCAATGCCCAGTTTATCGCTTCGAGGTCCGTCGGAGATATTTCAGATTCTTGTTACGGCCACCAGGTATACGCGGAGTCTTACGGTAGCCATCTAGCTAGCAAGGATCGACAATTGTTTACAGGGGCATATCCGAGCGCCGTGGAGAACGGAAGTAAAAAAAAAAGGGAAAAGTGAAGAATAAAAAAAATATATTAATATCCAAGCGTTCATAGTCCAGAAGGCAAGTCCGTGCAGCTACAGGATTGACGTCCTTGGATTTGCAAAGTGAAGGAAAGACGAAGGAGAAACACGTAACCTCTTACTGCTCAAATGTCAGAGAGAAAGGCCAACTTGTTAGAGAATCGAGAGACAACCTGCTGCATCGAACTTATAATATCCACGTAATACTTACAAATCACGTAATTTCGCGTATTGCGCTTTAAAGTCACGCAATCGGCATTCCGTCGCATCGTCACCTTTCGCCACGTGTCATTCGAAATCGAGTTAATGGAATTCTGGGTAATTATACGCAGAGCCGAGCGTGGGCTTAGATTTCATTTGTACAGTACCAAATAAACAAGACAGTGGAGCACGCCTGGACAGAGTTACAGAGATATTACGAGATACGTCCTTGGTTCGGCAGCATATCGTCTTGTAATTTCTCAATCGAATTATTGACAAGTCCGATAACCTTAAATAGGTTACGAGTTATCGTTTTAAGTGAAATACGAGAACAAATAACGAAGTAGATCCTGGCCGAGTAGATTTCCAGTGAAAATTAAGTAAGCGCACGTGTTCAAGGTCCGGATGCTAAGAGAAAAAGAAAAAAAGATCTTCCTCGTACACATCTGTCAGACACGTGTTTACGCGCGCAGTGCATGCTGGGACTGCGGGGCTCCTCGTCCCACAGACTCAAATTCAAATCCTATCAGTCAACGGTCATTGTTCTCATCAGGATGCACGGGGAGAGACCCCTCGTGAATAACTGAATAGTCCAATAGGAATTTTTGTAATGGCGGCCACGATGCGCTCCAACGGACAGCACGCTGCTTCCCTATCCCAGGATCAATCTCTAGTCCGCTGTTATCTACTGATATTAATACTGCCGGTAATACCCCGGTGCATCGCCACTGGTACTTTGGCGCTAGTGCTGCGTGACAAAAGCCACAGCCACCGAGAGAGAGAGAGAGAGCAGAGAGGGCATCGGCCTGACCGTGACCTAGCCACCGCTCCTTGCGCCCTCCCCCCCC